TGGGGACACGCAGGGGACCTCGGTCAAGAAGCAAAGGAGGAGAGGGTTGCGGAGGCCGGCAAGGCAGCATGGGACTGGCGCATGAGGTGTTCTGGACAGCCAGGGGACCTGCTGGTGGTGGCTTGCCGGAGCCCGGCCCCAGGGAGGAAAAACAGGGTCACCCAACACCGGCCCAGCTGTGCCAAGGCCGAACTAGCTGGCGCTGCACCCTGTGGGACCGCACATGGCAGGGCGGCAACAGGGCCGGGAGGGCGACACACGGGCTGAGTGACCCAGAAGCTGGTGGGACCTGGCAGTGGCAGCAGGGAGCAAGGGCTGAGCCCCTCGGGACCTTTGTGGCAAGCGTCTCTGAGGCAGAGGGGATGCTCACAGTCACCCGCTGCGGGACACACAAGGCCTGTTCCCTGAGCTGCATGGCTTCCTGCAGGACTTCGTGCCCCAGGCGCTACGCCAGGTAATAAAGCAAGGGGCTCCTGCTTAGGATTGACACTTGCGAGGAGTGTCCGTGTGTGAGTGGTTTATTCTTCTAACACAATGGCTGTAGCCAGTAGCAAAGTGGGAGAAGATTCCCTCTTGCATCAACCTGATCCTGCAATTAGAGTCCATCTCATGGACAGATGCACATTTTATGTTCTGGAATTTTAGAGATAATTAATTTAGCCAGCCTAACTAAAGTTGAACGAACTTTTTGAAGTACAACCCAAGAGTCTTTGTGTGTCTAGACATCGCACTGACCCTTTTAAGAGGGATCCTAAAAATGTCCTGATAATTGACTTCTTCGGATGTGTACGGAAGTAACAGTTACAACAGAGATTATTAGTTTGCGACAGGATTCAGAAATCGCGGAGAGCAGCCATGCTGTCCTGATGCTTGCTGATGACATGGCCTGCAGTCCTAGAAATCGCAGACCAGCTACTGTGTGTAGTCACAAGAACATGGAACTAAATGCATACGGAGATGACATAAAAGTGGATTATAGAAGCTATGAGGTGACCATGAAAGAATTTATATATATACACACACACTATAGATTAAGGATTGTATTCTATCCACATTTTTTGATAAGAGATCTCTGTTAATTGATGAACAAAATCTGACCAGTCTATTTATGATTATAAATTTCTAAAAATTGTAAGAGTTACTATAATTCAATTTGATCTAGAATATATTGGAGTGCACTCTGATTTTTGTTGTTTTTTTTCAGAATTAAATTTTATTTCACATTGATAGACATCATGGGAAACATTTACACTGTCCCACATTACAGCACAATATTTCAACAAAATTGTTCTTGCTATAAATCTTACTGATTTGTATAGCTGAGCTAAGTCTACAGTTCTTCACGGTAAAGCAGAATGAGGGGCTGGGAATTTAGCTCAGCAGCACAGCACCTGCCTAGCAAGCACAAGGTCGTGAGTTTGATTCCCAGTACTGGGGAAAAAAAAAAAAAGGTAAAACAGAATGACTTAGTAAACAATTGTTTAAAAATTTTAAATCCAGAAATAAACATGGCTTCATATAAACATCCTATGTAGTCCGTTACAAGATTACTTTCATGATCAATTAGCGCATCAATTAAAGATGCATTCTTGGGGGTGGGGATTTAGCTCAGCGGCACAGTGCCTGCCTGGCAAGTGCAATGTTGTGAGTTCGATTCCTGGTACCAGAAAACAAACAAACAAACAAAAAACCAACAACAACAGATTCACTCTTAACATTGTTTTGGTAAGTTGAAATACAGGAGAAAAATTAGCATAGTCCAGAAATATTAAGCATACATTTTTGCTACATTTTAAATTACATGGTAACTATACCATATTTATAGGGTTCTGATTAACCTTTATTACCTATAAAATTGTTTTCAAATAATTTTTGACTATTAATCTGGAAATTTTGACTACTTAAAATCAAATGTCTGAATTTTTTTGTCTGCACAAAAGACTAATTTTTAGAAAAAATTTGAAGTGAAAATTTCAAGTAAGACCACTGCCAGATAAAAATAAAGCAAGTTTGTCCAGTGGATTGCTCATTTTCTTTTTTTGGTTTTCTTTTTGTTTGTTTGTTTGTTTTCCGGTACCAGGAATCGAACTCACGACCTTGCACTTGCCAGGCAGGCGCTGTGCCGCTGAGCTAAATCCCCAGCCCTGGATTGCTCATTTTCTTTTTTTTTTTTTTGGTTTTTCTCCGGTACCGGGAACCGAACTCACGACCTTGCGCTCGCCAGGCAGGCGCTTTTGCCGCTGAGCTAAATCCCCAGCCCCGGATTGCTCATTTTCTACAGTAGTTGGTTCCCAACATGTGTACAGAGAAAGGAAACAATGTGGCAAACCCCAGTAATTTTAGAAATTCATTTTTAAGATCTGTCTTAAATATTTCTGTACACACCAGAATATGGTCTAACTAGTCACTCAACTGCTTACATAAAAATAATAACCTTTTATTTTCAGAACTGCAGATTCTAAATAAGTAAGTCTAAATTTGAACTGATGATTTGAAATATATAATGTAAGAAGTTTAATGTTTGGTTTCTTTTAAAGTGTATATAGATGTTAAATATCTTATGTCTGTAATTGAGAATGTCAAATTATAGCATGTATTGAGGGAAGATGTCTACAGTAGGGAGGCAATATATTCGGTCTGCTCTGAAGAATACTCATGAAAGAAAACATTTTTTTTCCTTGAGAAAATATTAAATAGAAACAACATCAAGGAAAAGAAAAACCTGGTCCCTCAAATAAAAGGGCCATTAAATGAAGAGAGCAGTGTTACTCTTTACTAACAAAAGCATCATCCCTGTTATCAAGAATAATGAAGTAACACCTAATTCTTACGTATTACAATCATTCTGTGTAATGAACACATATAGAAAAATACAGACACTTCATGGTGACTAAGCAACTCTGGAATAAATCCATAGACTAAGTCACAGCATGCATAAGTCATTTATACCTAACCTGTTCATTTTACCTGAACAAATTTTCATTAGTATACTGGTAATTTTCAAGTGATGTAATAAAAAAAAATCTGGTTGTAGTATTTTATTATTTTGCTGAATTACATTTGAGAAAAAGAACCTAGCTGCCTCACCTATTGTAATACTAGTATATTCTGGATCACATTATACAAATGCATGCATAGAAACTTAAAAGATCATAAATTTCCCACAAGGAAATGTTATTTATTATATATCACTGATGTGTATTTGCAGAACGTTTTAACACTGCAAGCAGTAGAAGTTTTAGGACTGGGCTTGGGAAAAGTGTATCCTCTACTATGATGTTGCTGGTGTTCTTCTACACAAAGCCTCTTAATGACGTCAGTCGATCGGAGGTAGGAGTTTATCAGTGAATTGCCTGACATCCATCATTTCCTGCTGACACGAGCTCTGCGTCATGCCTTCATAGGTTTTGAAGGTCACAGTGGCTGGATTTACCAACAATTTCAGTTTTTCAAAGGTAAGGGAGCCAGACATTAGGGGAACTGAAGGGTCACCATCCCCGTGGCACCGGAGAATAGAAACATCTTCGTTAACACCACTGACAGGACCCTGCGGGAATGAAGCCCCGAGTGGAGGCCAGCGACTAAGCACGGTGATACCCGCCATGCTCTGCTCCGTGGTCAGCACAGTGTATAAAGTCCCTCCCTGAGAAAATCCTCCCCAAATGGTTCTGTTAGAAGGAATGCCGCTCTTCACCTCTTGATCTATGAGAGCTTTTACATTTTCTGCTGCCTGTTTAATTCCAGGCTCATCCTCATGAGAATCTGGCGAAAGCCCAACGATATCAAACCAAGAAGGCAGAGCCGTGTTCACATTTAATGTTACAGGCATAACAGGCGTGTGTGGGCAGATATACTTGATATGTGAACTTCTGATACCTGCAAAGGCTTCTGCCCTTCCATGCCCGGTGTCTCCCAATATGTGAAGGAGAACAACCGTGGCGGAGGCCTTGCGGGCGGCGGGCATGACGGCACCCGGGGTGGACATGTTACTGGCCCGCGGCAGCACCCACTCTGATTTTTGTAAGGTGTTTGTGTGTTCCGTGTACTTGTTATGTGTTTGTCATTTTGTGAACAGCTGTTCCCCTTTATTTTGAGCTCAACCATTTTTCTTTCATCATTTGTCTGTAGTACAGTTTGGAGTATAGACTGGAAAGCACGCTTTCTCCTGAATTACAAGCTAGTTTAAAAAATTGGCTTTCTTGCAGTTCATCAAAAAAAAAAAAAAAAAGATATTTAACTACAATTCCTTAGGGTGAGGAGAAATTATTGGGCAAAACTCCAATTGGTGAGTAAAGGGGTGGCCAACCTTTATTCATTAATAAGGAGCCCCCAGTGATCTTCAGAGACTCTTGGGAGACACCCCCAATAATTTGGTCATGGTTAAAAGTGTTCCACAAAGAAAAAATAAGGTGTTCTCGTGAAAGATATTCTTAGTATGAAACTAAAGGTTTTCACATGTGTATGGTAATTTAGTATTACTCTCATAGTGTATCGAAATGTATTCATGATTCTGGATGTATAGGTCTTGAAAATGTAAAGCAAGGATTGCTTATGATAAGACTTTTTGTTCAGATTTAGACCTCTGCCTTTAAAAACTTATGTATATCTCATTAAGTGATAACTGATTAGAGAAAAGCTTCTTATGTACTTGTCTTGGTTACTTTGCTCTTGTTGCTGAGACAAAATACCTGATGCCCAAAATTAAGGGAGGAAAGGTTTATTTAGCTCACAGTCTGCAGAGGTTTCAGTCCATACTTGGCCAGCTCCAAGGCAGAGGGGCACATGGCACAGGGCAACAGTTCATGGCAGCGGAAGACAGCAAAAGCAACGAGAGCAAAAGGGAGGAGCAGCAGCAAGCAGCCTCTTTCCCTCCCTTACATTGCATGCAAACTACCTGCACCAGGATGGGTGTAGCACTCACACCCATAATCCCAGCATTGGACCATGATTCAATCATAAACTCTAGAAGCCGCCCCATGACTGCACGAGGCTTTGAGGGGACACCCAGACACAATCATAACAGTATTAGAGAGGATTGGTTAAAAGGGCTATGTTATGTCAAAATGAAAATTTAAATATGTTACAAATGTCATGCAGCAACGTTATGTATAGATTTGCTTTCTAATTTCAATGTATAAATATGTAACTATTATCTGTTAATATTCTATAGGGATTTAAACGATAGGATATCCATGGTTGTTAAGAAAATAACAGTTTCATTTTATGTGCTATGGTGTCTGCTATTCAGAGAGATAGCAATGTTAAGCTTATTGCTTCTATTGCAGTGTAATGTCATTAAGCTTCTGGATGTTTAACAACTGAGGTTTGGAGACCAAAAAATTAGAAAGATAAATGGGCTAAGAGGAGGCCAATGTTTTGGCTCCAGCTCTCCAAGGTCAGAGTATACCCAGGACAGAAGAGAACCTCTGCTACGGCATCCTAGGACTTGGTTGAGCCCCTGATTTTCTGATCAAGGAGATTACGGGACCACAGAGGAAAGCCATTCGAGGATGTACAGTGTGCTAAGGAGAGTCACCTGGAGAGATACGGTCTCTCAGGCTTTCACAGAAAGCAGCTCGGTCAAGCAGTGGCCGTGACTCATCCAGCTCGCTGACACGGACTGCAGATCTAGAGGCGCTGCGTGTGGTTCCAAAGCAACCCTGCGGAGACTTAACTGACCTTGATGGGCAGGAAAAAAAGGATTAGTATGGGTCTTGCCTTAACTTGGTCTTAAACATCCAGCAGAAACGCATAACCCCAAATGGATGCATAAGCATTGTCATAGTAAGATGTCAGCTGTAAAGGGTTCAAATCACCAACAACTGCGAACATTTTGCCGACTAGACGGGCAGCTTGCTTCTGTTAGGGATGCTGGGACTGTGTTCTCCAAGCACAGCCTTTCCAGCGAATCGCCCGTCATTTACAAAGCAAAGAGATGTTGGGAGCCGCGGAAGCCGCAAAGAAATTACACGCGCAGGATGAAGCCAGCCGAGGCCGCGGGAGCTCCTCGAAGCACGGAAACAAGCCGCTGTAGCTTGTTAGCTGATTGCTGGACGGCCAGGTGGAAATTAAGCAACCTCTTGGTATAAATAAACACTCTAGGGTTCTTGGGCGGTTCTCCTCCTCTGCTCGGAGACAGCGGACCTCCACCTGGTCCCAGCTTTTTGTCTCTTGTCTGTTTTTTTCCTCATTGGCGCCGCCGTTCCTTCCTGCGGTACAGCAAGAGCCCAGCGGACCTGTACAACTGATCGCCCAGGACAGCTGACATGGGCCCTTCCGAGCCACGGCCAGCCCTGCCTCCGCCTCGCCGGCAGTTCTGAGGGCCAGGCGGAGGGGTCTCCCGGGCATGTTGCTGGACAGTCCCCACATGACCAATGGCTCCCGTGCCCCCCAGCCGCAGCCTGCGCCCCTGTCTATGCTCGGCCCGGGAGATTCCCCAGGGTGCCGCTGCTGGGTGGAACAGAGCTAGTGAATGAAGGTTCAGAGACACTCCTGGTGTGGAGTGGCCCTGAAGTGTCCTTCGCAGCTCCCTGGACGGTCCCCCCCAGGAAGGGCCCACTGCCTGGTGCCCCCACACGCTCGTGTTCCTCCTGGGTCAGCCCCCAGTGAACCTCCCTCCCAGCATCTTGCCCCGTATCTTCTCTGGGGAGCACCTAGGGGTCCCTGCCCACCCTGTCCCCTTTCTACCCTGAGCGCCAAGGTGTCCCCTACTCAGGCTGGGCTCACCCCCAAGCACAGGCATGCACAGAAGGCTTTGAGGGGGCGTTCCCAAGGTCCTTAAACTGCCAGGCAGGTCTCTCTCCTGGCCTGGGGCCACAAACCATTTCCTTGCTGGGGGCGCCGGGCCCAGGGTGCTAGGCCAGCATTCCGAGAGGGAGGCTCAGGCCTAGAGAAGTGTTATGGTTGTGTTTGGATGTCCCCCCAAAGCCTCATGCAGTCACGGGGAGGGGGTAACTTCTAGAGTTTATGATTGATTCGTGGTCCAATGCTGGGATTACGGGTGTGAGTGCTACACCCTCCCTGGGGCAGGCAGCCTGCATACAACATAAGGGAGGGAACGAGGTTGTTTGCCTTCCCTCCTCCCTTTTGCTCTGGCTGCTTTTGCTGTTTTCTCCCTCCATGAACTGTTGCCCTGTGCCATGTGCCCCTCTGCCTTGGAGCCAGCCGAGTATGAACTGAAACCTCCACACACTGTGAGCTAAATAAACCTTTCCTTCCTTCATTTTTTCCTTAATTTTGGGCGTCAGGTATTTTGTCTCAGCAATGAGAGAAAAGTAATCAAGACAAGAAGACGCTTTCTAGTGGCTTCTGGGGTCCTTTCCTCCTGCTACCTGCAGTGGGCATCAAAGGTTTCCACCGTGTCACTCCATGGAAGGGGCAGAGGAGGCAGAGAGGCCGTGCTAGGACCAGAGGCTGTCTCCATGGAGAAGGCCCCAAGGCGGCGGCAGAGATGGCGGAGGGAGAGGCCTGCGGTGTAGACAGGGATGGATGGTGGTCCCAGGCTGCTCTAATTGGCCATCGTCTCCTCATTATTGTCCCAGGCGGGCGCTCAGCCAAAGCCTCCTTTGTGTGCTCGCGTTCCTGGGCGCAAGGTGGCCTCATTAGCACCCAGAGACCGTCCTGTCTCCAGGGAGCAGGCAGAGAGAGGAGGGGGTCGGGGGCACCGCGATCAGCCCCAGCCCCGGAAGGTCTCGCTCCCATTCCTGGGCCTTGGCTTGGAGACAGTCTCAGGATGCTAATCTTAGCTGCGCCTTTGTCTGGCCCGGGGGTGCACGCAGTCACTCCCCCTTCCCCCAAACCTTGGAGGGCTATAAACCACAGGCCCTGGTGGCAGTCACAGTCACAGCCTCGAGGTTCCTGAGCACCCACACCCGTGTTCTGCAGATACCCCAGGGAGCCCAGGCACCATGAGCCTCCCCCCAACAAAGGTAAGACCTGGGGACCCGGGCGGGGGGTGGGGCGGGACTCAGCATCCTGGGAGCTGCGGGAGAGGCCACAGTTGTGGCTGACAGCAGTGCCCCTAAGAGCTCATTCTCCTAAGAGCTCGTGTTCAGAGTCACCTGCCGTCCCCCAGCCCCCGGCCCGGCAGCCCTGCCCCGGAGGAATCGCTCGGTGCAGTTCAGGGGCGTGGAAGCCGTGTTCCCCAGGGAACAGCAAACAGCACCCAAGGGACCAGGGGCAGCAGACAGATGACAGCCTGGGGCCCCAGCAGGGCCCACTGTCCGGGTGTTTGCCTGCGGGAGGGACGCTGGGGGACATAAACACAACACGGGGGCCCTGTTTTCGCCGAGCTTCCAAGTTGTGGCACACGCAGACTCCGACACGCCTGTCTCAGGCGGGGAGCAGCCTTTATCCTGGCAGGAAGCCTCACGCAAGCGGAGGGGCCCCCGGCCGTCCCCGGGGCTTCCTCCAGGAGGCGCTCCGCAGGGCTCCGAGGGTCCTGGCAAGGGCGCAGGGGCAGGACGGCGCAGTGACCGCGGGGCGACGGAGGGAGCGCCCCCCTCCCGGCTCACAGCGCCCCGCCGCCCCTCCCCAGGTCTCCTGGGCCACCGTGACGCTGCTGCTGCTGCTGCTGCTGCCGCCCGCGCTGCTGTCGCCCGGGGCGGCCGCGCAGGCCCTGCCCGACTGCTGCCGCCAGAAGACCTGCTCGTGCCGGCTGTACGAGCTGCTGCACGGCGCGGGCAACCACGCGGCCGGGATCCTCACGCTGGGCAAGCGGCGGCCCGGGCCCGCGGGGCTGCAGGGCCGGCTGCAGCGCCTCCTGCTGGCGGGCGGCAACCACGCGGCCGGCATCCTTACCATGGGCCGCCGCGCGGGCACGCCGCCCGGGCTCTAAGCTGCCTCCGGCCGGCCCGTCCCCGTCTCCACCCGGTCCCCGTCTCCACCCCACCCACCCTGCTCGCCAGTGTCAATGCCTAACACGAGGCAATAAAGACGAGGCTCTGTGCTTGCGTCCGGTCTCTGTCCCCGCGCGGGCGGTTGGGAGAGCGTCGTGCTAGCTCCGAGCCCGTGGGCTAGTGCACAACGCCGGGACGAGCCTCCCCCATGACCCGGGGATCTGCGAGTCACTCTGCAACCCGGGAGGGCGAGGCTGGCCGCACAACGAAAGACAAGGCCTTGAGCTTCAGCAGGGGAGCTCCCACAGCGCTCAGGGAGGGGTAGAGGTGGAGGAGAAGGGTCGTGGAGCCTGATGGCAGAAGGACCTCGCACACCGTGCAGGCACAGAAACCTTTCGTTTGTTTTCCGAGCACTGGGGATTAAGCCCTGGGGAACGCTGAGCGACATCTCCAGCCTTTTTGCAGTTCAGGCTGGCCTTGAGCTCACTTTGTAGCCCCAGGCTGGTCTCAAACTTGCAACGATCCTCCTGCCTCAGCCTCCGGAGTGCTGGGATGACAGGTGTGCGCCACCACCCCCGGCTCAACCCTTTTTATCTTAGGCTGAGGCAGGGTCTCCCTGAATGTACGCAGGATAGCTTCAAATCTGGGATCCTCCTGCCTCTGTCTCCCTGGTAGCTGGGATTACAGGTGCGGGCCGCCACAAGCGACCACGGGAAGTTCCTAGGCAGAGGTGGGGGGAGACTTTTCTGCAGCTCTAGCCAGAGATGCTTGTTCCCCCAAATCCCTGCGCGGCAGTCCTAACCCCAGCACTGAGCACATGGCCCGGTTTGGAAATAGGGTCCTGGCGGATGCATCACGATGAAGCGGAACCAGAGCAGGGACCTCTCACCCTCAGGAGGCGGGTTCCCACTGAAAGGGGGGTTTGGACACAGAATCTAGACCCACGGGAACCTGAAGTAGACACCGGGGGGCGCGGCTACAAGCCTGCCAAGGCCAAGGCGTGCCTGAGAGCTGGGGCCCAGGCGGTGGCCCGTGTCTAGCCCTGGCCAGCAGCCCTCGCTGGGCTCCAGCCTCGGGACGCGTGCGGCAGCTCTCCGGATGGCGGCCGCGGGAAACAGCAGAGGCAGAAGCAGAGAGGGAAGGGGCCTCCGGAGGCTGGGGACAGGCCGGGGACAGGGGTGCGCCGCCGCCTCTCCGTCGCCCGCGCCCACTCCCCGGGCCGCGCCGCCCTCATCCGCCTCCTGCTCGGGCGGCCGTCAGGTTCTGGCCGGCTCGGAGAGGCGAAGGCACACAGACAGCCCAATCTGGGGCTCCGGGGCTGGGGGCCCCCGAATCTCTGCCTTCATCCCCCGCCGTGTCGGAAGCAGAGCGCGGTGTGCCGCGGGCACGGGGAAAACAAGCGCCGACCGAGCTTTCCGGGGTTGGGGTCCCAGCCCTCCCCGGAGTGGGCGCCTCTTCCTTGAACCCTTGCTGTCCCCCCGGGAGCGCAGGGCAAAGGTCTGCCGAGAGACGCCCCAACTCCGGTAGACGGCACTGCGAACCAGACGCCAGCCGGGCGTGGGCCGCGCGCGGGAAAGCCCACGGGGCGGAGCCGCCGAAGCAGCCCAGAAACCACGCTCGGGGGCGTGGCCACAGGGAGGAGGGCCTGTCCGTCTGCAAAGCCCCGCCCCTCCAACTAGTGGGCGTGGCTCCAACTTCCCTGGGAGATGCGCGTGGGGGTGTGGCCGTCCAGGAAGGAGGGCGCGTTCCATCAAAGCCCCGCCTCCCAGCCCGGGGGCGTGTCTCCAGGCTCTTCCAAAAAGGGCTCGGGGGCGTGGGCGGCCCCGGAGGAGGCGTGTCCT